CGATAATTGGAACCATGTGGAAAGCCAAGACAATCCCGCAGACTTGGCAAGCCGAGGATGTACACCCACCGATCTATTGAATTGCAACCTCTGGTGGCATCGACCCGCATGGCTACAACATGAAAAGGAGCATTTTCCAGCAACGGAGCATTTTACAACACTACCTTGGAATTCAAACCCGTTAAAACGTTTGCGATAACCTACCACGAGGATATACTCGAAAGATTTTCCTCATTCCCCAGAGCTATTCGAGTTATCGCTTACCTATACAGCTTTTGCGCAAATGCCTCACCAAGGAGACGAGGAACTGATTACTCAAACTGCGAAATAACCCCAGAAGAGTTCAAAACAGCCCGAATGAAATTAATTATTTACACCCAAAAAACACATTTCCGACAAGAATATGATGCTTTCACCCGTAAAACCCAAATACAAAAGAAAAGTTCATTATTGACTTTAAATCCATTCATTGACCCTAAAGGAGTTATGCGAAGTGACGGAAGATTAACCAATTACGCAGCACTGTCATATAATGAGCGTCACCCACCCTATAATAGTCGAATGTCAAAATTACTAACTCATTTTACCCATTTAGCCACGTTGGAAATCAGCTAGTTCTTCGACTCCTAAGGACAGAATTCTGRRTMCCCAAAGCAAAGATGCTGATTAAAACAATAATTCATCAATGTAAAACGTGCATCATACACAACAAGGCTCAACAAACCCAAATTATGGCAGCTCTTCCAAATGAACGAACCATCCTAACCCGGCCGTTTGCCGCCACTGGTATCGACTTTGCTGGACCCTATGACATCAAAAACTACACTGGGAGAGCATGTCTAATCACCAAAGGATATATATGTGTATTTGTATGCTTCTCAACTAAAGCRATACATCTCGAACCCGTTAGCGATCTCACTACGCAAGCCTTCCCAGCAGCATTCTCCCGTCTCTTCTCGAGGCGTGGATGTCCCGCCAATCTTTATTCCGACAACGGAACAAACTTTATAGGAGCTTCACAGYTGCTAATGAAAGATCGGCGTGAATTATTACAGACACTTCGAACTCAAATTACATCTCTCCATAKCCATCAAAATATCTCATGGCACTTCAACCCACCAGGAGCTCCACATATGGGTGGATTATGGGAAGCAGGCGTAAAAAGTTTAAAAACCCATCTAAAAAAGATCGCAAAAGTACAAAAATTCACGTTTGAAGAATTTGCTACCTTATTGACCCGCATTGAAAGTTGTGTAAACTCTCGACCAATAAGCCCCATAAGCGACGACTCATCAAACTTGGAACCTCCAACTCCAGGACACTTCCTTATAGGTACCCCATTGTTAACCCCTGCCGAACTCAATTTAGAGGATGCAAACTTAAGCATCGTTAACAGATGGCAGAAACTAAAAATACTCTACCAGCACATTTGCAAGAGATGGAAGGAAGAGTACCTTAAGGAGCTACACAAACGATTTAAATGGAAATATCCACAACGTAATGTTGTAGTTAACGACTTAGTCGTTATAAGAAACGACAATATTTCACCCAACGAATGGAAGCTCGGTCGAATCCAAAAGTTCTTCCCCGACTTAGACAATAAGACACGAGTGGTTGAAATCCGAACTGCTCAAGGCACAATAACCCGCCACATCACCAAAATTGTGATATTAAATACAGAATAAAATACAAGTTTTCTCTTCTTTTTTTTAGTGAAATGGCCCCAACAATCACCTACTCACCCAAACCTCGTCGTATGAGCTCAACAATTACCCTCCGGTCCCGTAGCGCAACCCGTAGTATTACACCGATTTCGGAAGACGACACGATGTCACGACGCATTCAACGTTTCAAGTYGACCCTTCCCACTATTCGTGAAGAAAAGGAATGTGATGATCGCACAACACGAAAAACGATCTCACATCGTAGAAAACATACATCATCCCGTCATGTCGCTTGCGGAATATGCAAAAAAGACCACCGTCTAGTGACTTGCGCTACGTAATAAACATCACTACTGCGTTAATTGCTTAGCCAGGTCGCACAAGACAGAAGGATGCACAAGCAAAAATCGATGTTCCACTTGTCATGGGAAACATCTTTCATCCCTACACGGACATCCGAGGCTATACCCGTCCAACGATGCAAATACTGTTGAGAACCATCCACTTGCGATAGAGACCCGATTACCATCCTTACTGGCTAAGCAGACCCTATTACCCACACTGAAGATCCKTTTAAGATGCGATGGCGAATGGTATAAAGTTCGAGCCATTTTGAATCCTACCCTAAAAATTACAAATATAGCGGCCGAACTCGTTAAAAAATTAAAACCGCCAATTACATACCTCAACACTTATCGTATTTGTAGCATCAAAACTAGCTCAAATAATGATACAAAGCTTTGTTTGGAATGTAACACAGTTATAACACACAAGTTACCCAAAAAACCATATGAGCGAGACATAAGTGACGATGTGCAAATGCGCTTCGAACACTTAGTTCTCGCTGACCCTCAATTCCACAGCAACAAAGAGCTAATGTTGGAGATTGGAGCGRATATCTMCCCACAAATTATTAGAAGTGGACTCTTCAAACCCGACAATGGTACAGTGGTAGCGCAGAATACAGCATTTGGCTGGACCCTTACTGGCACCATCTAACCCTAAGTATACTCCTGATAATTACTCCATTTCATTTCAAAACCTTCAATATATGTATGTTACCCTACTAATACTCAATTATTTCGCAGATTCTGCAAGGTGGCCGGGATGTTTAATCCAAACAAATACTCCTCTGCATTACTCCCACAAATTAGATAAAGTAATAGAGGCGTAATGCAGAGGAATATCAACCGCCCCAACTTCACACATAAAAACAGAAGGAGAAACAAAGAAGAAATCTTTTCCCGCGCTTTTTACATAAAAAGGCTTATTATCCCTTAATCAGTATTGGAAACACACACATATACTTGTATAAACCCATATATTTATATATATATAATCGAATTTTATAACGTTCACACTTAAACTAACTTTCTTTTAATTTAACACAATCGGCCCCATACGTCGACATACCCCCACAGAACTAAACATACAAGTATTTCGATGGGTAGGTAGAAAGTATAACTAAAAAACCGCTGCAAGGCCTCTTTTGTAATTAAAGCCTTAGTATTTTCACTAAAATTGCTTGATGAATATAGTATTCAGGGAAATTTTACAGATCAGACAATTATATCATACATTTTTTTATAGAATTTTTTTTTGACAAGAATATATATGGCACATAAGATAATTAGCAAAAATATGATTAAAAAATTAGTCATATAATAAATAAATCCCTAATTTTTCCAGATATGAATAATTGAAATTTTAAGCATATCTATTCAAACCTAATAAACTGGTGGGTAGGCAAAACAAAATCTAGGTAGAAGGTAATTTTGTAAGTAGTATTGTCCTGTATTAAAACCCTAATTAACTGATAGGTAGGAACAAAACAAAACGTAGGTAGAAAACAAAGTTGGGAGGTTAGGTAAAGTGTAACTGTAGGAAGGACTTTACATATAAGGTTCTAAAAAATTTTATAAATAGGGTGTAAACTCAACGGATTACGTCAGTTTACGCCTACAGCTTAAACTTAGAAAAACACAAGCGACTATCAAATTTATCGAAAAGATCCTTTATAAAAAAACATTGTTTTTTTTTTGAGTATATCTTTATTTATTTTTTATTATTATTAATTTATAAAATGCCAAGAGTATCTATCGCAATGCTTTGAATCGAAGCCGACAATAATATAGCCAAAATTTGGAAATAAATCGAATGACGAACGCCGACTATATTGCACAATTACGCAGTTCAAATTTGGAGTTCCGTAATGGGAGAGTTCTGCACGTTCCAATAGACGACAAAACTGGCTTCACAGAGCAGAGGAGCAGGAACGCAACACCGCGGAACATTTAAATAGGCGTTTAAATCCGGAGTATAGAGCAGAGGAGCAGGAAGGCAACACCGTGGAACATATCAATAGACGTTTAAATCCGGAGTATAGAGCAGCGGAGCAGGAGCGCGACACAATAGGACATTCAATCAGGCGCTTGAATCCGGAATATAGAGCTCAGAGGCAGGAGTGTCAGCAACTTTATCCAGCATGATGAAGGCTATCATATCCTCAAAGGATTTCGATCCTCTCCTGGAGGCTGAAAAGAAAATGTTTTWGCCATGATCCGTCAGTTTTAATTGCCAACATTTTGTAAAACAATGTCAGCTGAAGAGACAAAATGGCCGGTTGGTCATATTAAAGAAAGTAGTAGATAAAGTAGACATTTCGGAAGAAGACGCCTCTGCCTTATCAAGTTCTGAAAAGGTAAGACTCATAAGGACAGATCCAGTCACATGTTCCAGATATTTGTTAAAAAAATGGACTATTTGGAGTAAATTTAGTAGCCCGTTACTATTACAGAATTGAATTTCAGCATAGGGGATCACCACATTGTCATGGCATGTACTGGTTATTAAATCTGACGGATCTCGCAGAAGAAGAAATAATACGGTTGAACTGCTTTGACAATTTTTTGGCGGATTAACATTGATTATGAAGGGTACAAGCTTGCTCTTCGCTCAGGCTGCAACACAAATATCCTTAACTTGCATAGAGCAAATATGGATATTCAATTCATTTTGGACGCCTACGCTTGCTGCAGCTATATAACTAATTATATAAATAAATCCAATAGAGGAGTATCAACACTACTGAGGCAAGCCATGAAGGAAATAAATGACGGAAATTTCTCCATTAAAAGAAAACTGCAGCACACCGGAAACAAGTTTGTAAACGGCTCGGAAATATCGGCTCAAGAAGCAGCTTATAATATTTTGGGACTGCATTTATCGGAAGCGAGTAATGGGGAGATATTTATAAATACATCACATCCAAACAATCGAGTAAGGATGCTTAAGCCCAGACGTGAATTTGATGCTTTTCAGGAGAATTCTACGGACATATATGTATCGAGTGTACTGGATCACTACTCTCAAATGCCCGATTAATTGGAAGAACTATGCTTAGCAGATTTTTCAGCATGGTCCAGATTTTGCAAAACAAGTAGGAATATTTCTGTTAATAATGAAGACTACAATGAAGTAGAAAACGAGGATGACAATGATGTCTAGAGTGTTTGCAATGCACACAAGGAGCAAATTGAGCAGAATAAGCTCAAATATGACAAATTTTTATCCAACGAGCGTGAACGGATCCTGGAAAACCTGCATGTTCCATCGGAAGAAATAGCCGATGGGAGAGCTGCCTCTCAACTTTTGGATCCCGAATTCAGAGCTCTAGCTGTTCCAGAGCAAGTAGGAGATGTTAATGTTTTTCACGAGGGCAACAATAGTGTGGAAGAGACGGTTCGATTAATTAAACTACCATCACTAATATTAGAAGGAGATTTACTGGCAATGGTACAATCTATTAACAACAAGCAGAGGGAATATTTTGCGTAATGCCCAATGTCAGTAAGAAGAAAATCTTCTACGAATATGTCGGAGGTGGTGCTGGAGTGGGCAAAACCCGGCTTATAACGACTGTATATCAGTCTTCGACATTGCGCGCTAACAGTGTATCAGGAACCCCGAAACAGCCAGTGTCTTACTCTGCGCACCCACTGGCAAAGCAGCATTTGGAATTGGAGGTCTAACACTTCATTCCGTTTTTTCACTCCCCGTCAACCAGTTCACCGTCGATCTTCGGCCCCTCAATAGTGACACATTGAACACTATTCATGCTAATCTCATAGATATTAGGCTTGTAATAATTGATTAAATTTCAATGGTTGGAGCAAAGATGTTTGCGTATTTAGATTGTAGGCTAAAGCAAATTTTTAGGAGCAGTGCTTACTTTGGAGGCATTCCAATTATCGTCTTTGGTGACTTAAAACAGTTGCCACCAGTAGGAGATCGATGGATATTTGCACCAAATGGCAATGATCATTACAGTGCAAATACAGGAACTCCGCTTTGGGATCAATTTCGATATTTCGAGCTCACTGAAATAATGCGTCAGCGTGAAGATCAAGAATTTGCCATCGCTTTAAACAACATGTCAGAGGGCAGACGCTGACTTCCAATTAATTAAAAGCAGGAAAAAGACCTCTAACGAGATACCCAATGAAGCCATCCATCTCTTTTATTAAAATGCTGGAGCAAATAATTTCAATTTAATAAAACTGGCAGGATACTACTAAGTCAAGTTCCTTAACAGAACGCAGCAGAGGAAACATATTAGAAGCTGTGAAGGGTTTCAAGGCATCAGAAACACAGGGAATGCCTCATACATTGCAGCTCAAAACATCGATAAAATACATGCTAACAGTCAACATATGCGCAAGTGATGGATTAGTAAATGCAGGTGAATACCGAATCGTCTGGATCTGAAAGCACAGTGATGCGACTATGGATGAAATTCGAAGAACCAAGAGTTGGAAGCTTTGCACGTTCCAAGCAGCCGCATAGTCGCAATGCAGATTGGATACCAATCATGAGCGTGTTCCGATTATTCAAATACAAGCGAAAAGAATAAATAACTATAGAACGTAGACAGTTCCCTGTCATTCCAGCTGAAGCCATCACGATACATAAAAGCCAAGGTGGAACGTACGCTCAAGTTGCGGTTCATCTAGAGGGTAGAATTAGCAGATCAGCTTTATATGTAAGATGTAGCAGAGCCACAAATTGAATAATATCCGTAGTAAATGAGCACTTTAATGGACCATCAGTAGTCCTTGGAGTCTTTAACATATGTCGCCTCACAGCAAGTGACGCTTTAGAGGCTCGATTACAACAGTTCGGTTTTCAATCTGCATTGGACAACGCCGCAACAAAACAGCAAACAGCAATAGATTGGGTATGGACAAACATGGATCCAGCAATGACCTCATGTATCACATATCAAACACCATATAGTGGTCATGACGGAATATTTTTAAGTTTTAGAAAATAGATATGCTATATACATACGTAGATATACATACTATATCTTAGATTCAATATTATTATAACTTAGTATGATAATATTAGGTGTAAATCATAGAGTAATGTAATTTATACATAAATATATATTTTATTTGCTCTGTGTTTTTATAAAGCAAACTGTAAATATATATATATGATAAATATGTACTAATATAGGAATATTATAATTTTTCCCCCATTAAGTTTATGTTAGTAATAAATAAAATTTTAAATAACTATAAACGACTAAAAGATCTATTTTCTTTATTAAATAACCTTAATGTTTCTAGCAAACAACCCGGATAAAAAGAATTAGTAAAATGTTACCCTTTGAGTGAAAACCACTGGCCAGTTACGTCTTTAGATTTGCTTAAACACATAGTTACTAAAAAAAAGTGCACCTGTGAAGGGTATATTAGCTTCGGTGCAGCCGAAGTTAACGTTTTTTCTTGTTTTTCTTTTAAATTTTCGATCTAAATTGGGTTTCAGGCTCCAACTGCGCAATTGTTTTATAAACGATTTTTACAAAAATCGCAGTTGGAATATCCGGCATGAAGGCGCATTACCGTAAAGCCAATGACTGGCTCGCGTTAGCGGGTGCAGGACTACAAGATGAAGCTAACGGCAGAACCATCGAAGGTTAGTATTATATTGATAATTTAAATTTATTGTAAATAAATCATTTTTTATAATTTCAGCAAAAATTGCCAAGTGTCCACCTGAGGGAAATATTTGGAAAGCGGTTAGCGGCCATGCGACCTTTACTGGTGAAAGCAACCTTCCTTCGCCTCAGCTGTGTTCAGATAGTCCTGCACCAGAATTCGGAGTAGAATTCATGGAAAAAAAATGCCATCAAACGCCGCACCTTCGGTAGCGCCA